GTATGAGGTGGGGCAGGGCAAGAGCTACACGCCGAGCTCGGACGACGTGGGCCACATTCTGAAGCTGGAGTGCACGCCCATGGACGCCAAGACGCGCCAGCCGGTGGCGGCGCCCTCCACGCTGCTCACCTCGCGCGTGATCCCCGCGCCCTCGCCCACCCCGCGCAGGATGGTGTCCATCTTTGGGGAGGGCACGTCCGAGATCGGGGAGCGATTGATAAAGCCGGGGACTTTCACGGTGGTGTCGTACAATGTGCTGGCGGACCTGTACGCCACCAACGAGATGTACAGCTACTGCCCGCCGTGGGCCCTCTCGTGGGCGTACCGTAAGCAGAACCTGCTCAAGGAGCTGGTGGGCTACCGGGCGGACATCCTCTGCCTGCAGGAGGTGAGCCGTCAGGCAGCACCTCAAATGCACCAATGCAAACCACACAATGGACGCCCCCTCAGCTTTCTAAGAGAATTTGGAGCACACGCTATTGTCTGTCAGAGTTGGGGGGAGGTTGACGCAATTTAGGGTTCCCTGCCTCGTGCTGCCCAGCGCTTGCTAGTCCCTGACCAAGGCAGGGCCTGTCTTGTGCTGCAGGTCCAGAGCGATCACTACGAGGAGTTTTTTGCTCCGGAGCTCAAGAAGCACGGGTATGCGGCCGTGTACAAGAAGAAGACCGGCGAGGTGAGCCAGGTCAGCAATCCAACCTTACCATCCCCCTCCACCGCCCTCACTTCTATGCACACATGGCTTGGTGACAGTTCCCCCTGCTCCTGAACTTTGGCATGCTTGACGCCCTCGGCGTTCGTCTTCATTGGGCCTAGGCGGTCAATCGTGATGCCGCCAAGCAAGTTCCCCTGATCCCACCGTGTAGTGTCCAATCCCCTTCCATGTTCCTCTTAAACCAACAAAACCACCTGCTAACTTACAGGTGTACACGGGGTCGTCATACGCCATCGACGGGTGTGCCACGTTCTTCAAGGAGTCGCGCTTCTCGCTAGTCAAGAAGTACGAGGTCGAGTTCAACAAGGCCGCGCTGTCCCTGAGCGAGGCGCTGGGCCCCGCCGCGTCCAAGAAGGCGGCCCTCAACCGCCTGCTCAAGGACAACGTGGCGCTCATCGTGGTGCTGGAGGCCAAGGAGCACGAGGGCGCAGACGGGCCCCTGCCCGGGCAGAGCAAGAGGCAGCTCCTCTGCGTGGTCAGCAGCGCAGCACTCCCTCCCGCCTTGCTACAGGACTGCGCCGCCAGATGCTGCACTGTGGATGCCTGGTTGCTCGCCATGTCAAAGCTCCAAGATCTGAACGGCATAACACATTCGGCGGACTGGTTTTGGCCTGCTTCCCTGGCCAGCTGAGCCGACTCTACTGAGCTAGATTGCTTTCTAAAGCAGTTTCTTGGGTAGCTTATCCACGTTTTGGGTCTTTGGATGTCTGATATTGATGGGGGCTCACTGGCGAGAGGTGGTGGTTGTGTTGCAGGCCAACACGCACATCCACGCCAACCCGGAGTTGAAGGACGTGAAGCTGTGGCAGGTGCACACGCTGCTCAAGGGCCTCGAGAAGATCGCGGCCAGCGCCGACATTCCCATGCTAGTCGCAGGGGACTTCAACAGCGTCCCCGGAAGGTCAGTGGCCGACACCACTTGCAATTGCTGCCGTTTCATTTCCTGGCTGGACGTCTTTCATCTTGTCAGTCAGAGGGGACGGCCTTGGGAAGTTGTCGTGGTCGGCTTGCTGGAAGGCCAAGCTTTTCTCTGGGTCTGGGTGAAATCGTTGGGGTCCTGGGGTCCTTCTTACATTGTAACCGACTTGGGGTCATGCGGTTGTCAAGTCTGGAAGGGCAACCTGTTCCTTGGTCAAAACCGAGGACTTGGTGACGTCCAGTCTGGAGTCTGCTTGCAAGACGCGGGCTACACGGACGGGGCTAGCTCCCTTCCGTTCACCGACAACGGCTGTTAATACCAGTGCAGCACCGCTACATAAATTGCGTTACTGATGCCATTGCTGTCATATTTGTGTGCAGCTGCCCGCATTCGTTGCTGGCGACGGGCCGCGTGGATCCCGCCCACCCGGAGCTGGCCACGGACCCGCTGGGCATCCTACGGCCGGCTACCAAGCTGCAGCACCAGCTGCCGCTGGTGAGCATGGCGATAATGGCACGCCACCATTTTAGAATATGCATAATCAGACTTTGCAGCTTCGTTTGCGTAGTAGGTGGAGAAGAGTGTAAACCGTAGATGCTGGACGGATCGTTTTTGATGATGCTTTGAAGCTAAGCACGGTGCTGGGAGGCCTGTTGCTGCACAGCATTACGTTGTGGCAGGGCGTTGCTTTGAGCAGACCATTGTCGTCGCAGGTGAGCGCGTACGGAGCTTTCGCGCGTGTCCCGGGGCCAAACGGCGAGGCCCTCCGGCGGAAGATCGACCCTGCTACACAGGAGCCCCTCTTCACCAATTGCACGAGAGACTTCCTGGGGACACTTGATTACATCTTCTATACAGGTGAGTGTGCAAGGCACACCGGCCAAGGCCGCCACTTGTCGCACATTAAGTGGGCAATCAGAGTGGGCTAGTGCTTAGCTCGACACACCGGCCTTCGACTGAGAGTCGTTATCGTGACTCTCACTCTTGCGGAAAGCTTTCCCTTGATGAGCGACTATCTGGCACGGATGCTCGAAGAGCCTGTTGTTCTTGTCGTGGCAACTGTTGATCTGGCATCTGATGAGCAGCTGTTATGCAAACACAGCGGATGCTGAGCGCGTTGCTGTTGCGTGTGCAGCGGACTCGCTGCAGCCGGAGGCTCTGCTGGAGCTGCTGAACGAGGAGGACCTCCGGAAAGACACGGGCCTGCCCAGCCCCGAATGGTCGTCGGATCACATTGCTCTGCTAGCAGAGTTTAGATACAAGCCCAGACAGAGAAGGTGATGGGCAAGGACCCCTCGGCCCTGACCCGGTCTAGAGGTGATTTGATGAATGTGTAGTCGGTAGTCGGCCAGATAGAAGGCGGGAATTATAGCTGGGCGATCAGGGGTTCGGAATTTGTAAGTTTGACATTATACAGCGTGGCAGGGTGTCTTTCTCATATTGTGTTGATGCAGGATGCCACTGCATCTCAAGTCGCATCCAGAGATCAGGATGTCGACGTGCTCCTGCAGGCTGAAGGCTACGACTCTCTTTGTATCATTGATTTTTGAGAACCCGATGCACATGCCCACGTTCAGTCAACCCGGTCCAATGACTGCAACATATCCACATGTCGCTCAAGTGAGTATGCTGTGTGCATTCTACCACTAGATAGCTTCGAACTAATGCATGGAATCCATTTTCCGATGGGCATGCAGAATTCCAACTTCAAATGTGCCATACAAACCGTGTGCCCGCAATCGCTGCATTTTGCATGCCATGAACCGTCGCTTCCTGACAATTTTAAGCTGCGACTCTCCAGATTCACACATGTCACTGTCAATGCAGATTTTGACGGAACTAAGGTAGGCAGCGGGGTCCCTAGAATGTTCAGCATATGCGATCCGCTCCCAAAGTTGTCAGTATGGATATTCAATCGCGTTACAACCAAAAACTGAGTCACACTGCTGCCCCACTAAACAATTAGGGCTCTCAGTCTTGCTGCCAATCGAAAATTGGAGCATGTTCTTGGAACAAAATGCAATCAATTGATGATGTAATATGAAACGCAGGCCAACGCAAATGCACGCTGTTGTGTCGCACCCAAACAGACGACCAACCTCTGCTTCTCTCCAAATGCTATGCGTCGTCCGCAACTAAGGCAGTGCTTGGCCTGTCTCATCTTTGTCGAGTGGTACTCCTCCCTGCCGGGTTGCTGAGTGCCGCCGTCATGGGAATGCAGACTGAACAGAGCCTTTGGAGATAGCACAGAAGGCCGACCGATGCTTCAACATGCGTCCATGTACCGGCTTATGGCGCGCCAAGGTACACTCGCTGCTTTGGAGGGAGGGGCCTGCGACAACGTGACCTCCTCTCAGGCCGACGACAGAAAGGACCTCTTCGAAATGGCTTGAGACGTGCATGCTGGTACAGAATTACTACACCTCTTTGCGGTAAACAGTGCGGGAACTTGCAATGCAAAAAGGATTTGGCTGACGTGGCCGCAGCTGGCAACCCTTTTGATCCTCTTGAAGTTGGCATTTCGCGCCTGATCCGCTAAAGCGCTAACTGGTCTGTCGCTCACCTTCCCGCCAGCGTCGCCACCAGATCTTCTTCGAAATTCTGAACAGGAGAGAATTTGGCGGCGGTGTTACTTCAAGACAAGCGGCTTGGCATCATCGTGCAGATCCATATCGTGATGGTATCCGCCTCTGATCCGGCACAGCACAACTGAACGATTCCCATGTGCGTCAAGTGAAGACAGACGGGAAGCTTGGGCGGACAGCAAGTGCAGGGTCACGGGACGGATCTGCGTGCCGATACCATGCTCCGGGCTGGGCCTCACCACGGGATCGAAGCCGGGCTTGTACCGCCGCACCGGGACGCCGTTGCGGTCCACCAAGAACTGCACCAGAAAAGTACACTCCGTTCGCTTGACGTGCCAGGGTAAAACGACGATGAAACGAGAACTGGTTCGCAGATTCGTTTGCGGTCGGACTTTATACGCTTCTCTTCCAACCTAGCGGGACGAAGTAGATCACCTCTGATCGTGATTTAGTTCTCAATGTCCTCGCTCGCAAAGGCAACTTTTGCATCGATCCATGTCCGTGCGACCAACCTCAAAAAGGGCCCAAGGCTTCGCTTCCGAAGGTTGCGACAGCTCGAACAAGAGTCGCGGAACTGTAAACTTGTCATGTGGTGCGAGTCAGAAAGAGCACAACTGAACGAGCATAAGAAAAGGCCTTGTAGTCATATCCAATAAGGGAAAAGCCCAGACGCTTCTTATGGCCTTGCTCCTTCGCTTCCTACAATTTCAGCCCGACGAACCCGAACGGCCGGCTGTCCTTTCCTTACACCAGCAAGCAAGGCGTCAACTTGTGGGTATTATGCCTCACATGAGACAGGCACTCGGTACATCTTATCTGCGACCAACGTCCACAATAGCACCCACCTTGACGTAGTTCCATTCAATCTCGCCCGGCTGCTTCGACTTGAGGAAGTCGTACACAGGTGACATCGCAGGACCCTTTACGTCGATCTGCCCCAGAGGCGACAGCGGACGCATGATCGCCCCTCCAGCAGCTACCATCCGAAATCGAGCGCATATGGCAGAGCGACAACCTCAGCACATCCTAACAATCTACGGGCAGCATGGTTGCCTTCGCACCACGAGGGCGCTGAAATCGCAGCGAACATGCGGCGCGCTCGTGCAAGACCCACCCGTATGGGCCATACCGAGGCCGTGGATGAGCAGCATCAACAACTTCGGCAACCAGGCTCACCTTGTCGAAGACGGGGAACTGTCATGAGCGGAAGAAAGGATACGGGGTCAGGCGGAGTTCGAGCAGAATGAGCAGAAGTATCCGCAAATATTTTCAGCGGTGTTCCAAATATTCGATTGATGTTGTTTGCTATCCAGGACCTGAGCAGTTCAGTCCTTGCGTCACAGCACTCGTGTTACAAGATGTTAGAGAAGGTGCTGGAAGCGAATAGATGCTCACCTCAAAGCCGAACTTGTAGTATGCGTAATCCCGTTCTTCGTCGCTGCTGCCTGGAGCCTGGCCTCCGAACTGACGGACATAGAGATCGAGGGCGGTCAGTAGGCTGAGACGAAGTAAGCTCGACGGCCCAGGACCCGGTTCAAATGCTTCGAGGTAGCTTTCTGGAGAACTACCAGCCCTTTTCTTATCGAAGAAGCTGAATAAAAGCCAACCTCGCCCTTCAAAAAGTTTTGGGAACAGAGTCTTATGCTGATTCAAATGCCAGAACCTCCTTTTAGTGCCAACGGATCTGTTCGTCACTAAAAGACAATACAGGTGTTCGATCGTACCTGATTGCATGGGAAAGCAAGAAGCGCGAACCCCTGCAGGCCGATGCACCACTGCTTAAAAATGGTATAGATATAAAACAGGCCGTGCAAGGGCCTAACAAACGGCACCACTCGTCCCTGTTTACTAGATTGACCAAACACGCTGAATGAGGGTCCAAAGACAATGACAAGTTACGAGTCTTGGGATACGTTCGGCTGCTTGAGAACGCCCCTGCCCCTCTTGTGACACCCATCCACCAAGAAGCTGGTGAATTTTGAATGGCCATGAATACTCTGAACTCAAGTTGCATGTTGTGTTGGGTTTCCATACCTGATCTTTGTACTTGTTGAACAAGTAGCGAAGACCTGGCAAGGAGAAACATTGGCTGAGAACCTGTGGTTACCTCAAACTAAGCCACGCGACGTCCCCTGGTGGAAAGTTCATTCCAAGTCTACAAAAAAGAAGCATCACAAGCTTCTGTGTGAACCAGACTTCCAGGTTTAACATACAAATACAAGAAGTGCGCAGCCACAGTACCCCTGCTTTCCAGGCATGGCCTACCCGGATAGTTCACGTTTTGCAGGGGTCACGCAGATGCTATGTTGAGAACGACCGAAACCTGCACAGACAAGGACAAGGCGCTGTAAGTAGCGGGCCTGAACAAGAGGAAAGAATACAGTCGCAGCCTCTCTTTTGGAACTCCCACATCTTTCAGGCAAAGGTTGAGATTTCATAACACATGGGGTGTCCGGTCAAGAAAGTGTCCTTGACGAATCTCTGAAAAGCTCGTTGTTCTTCGTACCATGTTCTTGTATTTCCCCAACGAAAGGTCCTCCTCCTTGTACTTGACGGTGAATCCATACAGCGACTTTGGTTGGGCTTCAGCAACTGCACCAATCGACGGAGTGGGACATATGTCAGCAACGACATAGGGCATGCCCCTCAAAAACTCCATTTTCTTCGATGATCTCTTTCAGCATCAGGGCAATGGCCCCCACTTAAGCAGGAGTGATCATATCAAGAGGTGCGCCCAGCAACCATCAGAGGGGCAAGTTCCAACCATTTGTTTGAAGTCCAATCAGCCCTCCCGTGGTGGCGACCAGAAGCTCCCTGCGTGAGGGGCCGAAGCGGTTGGAAGTCCATCTTTGTTGGTCACTGCAGTCAGCCGTTGGCCCAGGTTCTACAACAGCCTTGGCTGCACGGATGCATCTGGAATGCAGTCTGGACCACGAGTTCCTTGACCTGCGGGGCACAGCGAGTGCCTGCCGCTGGCCGGGGCCACCTATAAGCGAGTTGGCGTCAAAGCGTTAGTGCAGTACTTCCAATCATACTCAGTTCTTCAAGCGAGGAAGATGCGCCAGCACTTCTGCGCAGCATTGCTGAGTTTTGAAACCGCGTTGGATATCAGACCACCAGAAAGTGAGCTGTCAGGTGCACCATATGGAAAGTGGGTATTGCTCAATGGCAGCTACTGTTCCTCTGTATCGCAACCAGAATATGCATATGCATATGCCTGACTAACCGCAGCCTCACCATTCACAGGAGAGAGCTTTGTACTTTCAAAGCCGCGCAGAATAGCTGGCTGCAGCCTCGCACAGGTGGCGGCCACCATGGCTGCCACTGCCAGAATGCTGGCCCAACTTCCAAAATGGTGCAAACTCGTGCAATGCAGGAGGAATGTACAGTACATTGTAAGCTAGCTGTAGGAATGTTGGTACTGCCTACGGTACTACCGTACATGAAGGATGAGGCTAGCGCTATTAGAATTACTGACAGTACATTGAAATTGTACATTTCAATTGGTATCAGCATTGGACCATGTCATTCAGGACTCAATGCCCAGACAACTGTGAGCCGTTCGATTGACCCAAATCGAGCTCAGTCTCAAGTTTGGAGGGTGTCTGCCAGCCAATGGAACTCTTGAGAGCTTGCTTGGTCAATTGTGCGCATATCTAGTTTCATCTGACAAAGGCGACATTTGCAAAGAAATGGTGGTCGTCTGCTGCCAGTGCTGGTTCTTCAACTTCAAGCCGGCCCCCACCCCACTGCCAGTCCTCAGGTTGGAGGCCAGGAGCACAGCAGTCTGAGCTCCTCCTCTTCCTTGCCACGGTACGTTAACATTGCCCTCGGATGTCACACATCTGAATAGGCAGCTTTGCTGATTGACTAGAAAATTTGGCCAGAAACCAGATTTGCAACCGGGACCGCCAACGCTGCTGGTCATCTCACAGGAGGTGTGCCTCATCTCAAGGATAATGGGGAACACGGTCGCTCGAATGGAAGAGGCAGAGGCGGAGGCACCAGATGTTGTTGAAGAATCTGAGGTGAGCAAACGCATTGATTGGCAGAGAGGCCGTCAAATGCAATCTGTTTGGTTTAAGAAGAGTACATGATTGCGTGAATATGGCTTAGCACAGAGAAAGTTGGATACAAAGGATTGCACGCAAATATGTGCTACGCTAGCTGGCAGCTTGTGATTTAACTTTTTGCAAATCTGCTTATTGCCATTCTGCCCGCTAATTGCTAGGCTGCAAATGCACCGGAAGAGGAGGCCACAGCTGAGCAGGCAGAGGAGCCTGAGGAGGAGGAGGAGGAGGAAGAAAAGAAGAGTATCACTGTGAGTACCACTAGGTGTTGGATCCTCCGGAATGCCACGTTCACGTGGCAAATGTGCTGATCTATTCTTGCTATTCTTGTTCGGACAGCGCTTTTCATCCTCAGAGCATTTGATTGTCGTAGCTGGGAAGTTGTGTGTTAGTACGAGTTGCAGTTTGCCCATGCTTTGATTGTTCTGTGCTTGCCAGTGTTGCAACGAGCTTGAAGAGTCAGGAGTTGTGACGCCCTGTTTGATGATCGCAGTTAGACGACATCAAGACTGCGCCCATGGATTACCGTTTTCCAACGACGAACCAGGCAAAACATTGCTTCACCCGCTACAATGAATATCACAAGTAAGTGATAACCTGGGTGCCCCCAAATCTGCACAAGTGGATGAGGAGAGATGGAAAGCCTTGTCCTTGACTGCTTCTCTTTTTCAACACTCGTACAGAATTTGCCGTGCTTTAAGGACCCGCGTCCGTCCTAGTGCCTTCCATGCACTTAGGTTCCAATATCTGTCCCTTGATCCCCTTGTTATGTCCTCCTGTCTTGATGAACCCGCATGCTCATTTTCCAGGTGCATTGGGGAGAAGGGCGAGGGCAACTCGGATTGCACCATCTATGCTAAATACTATCGATCTCTCTGTCCTGGTGAATGGGTAAGCTGCCCGTTGGAGCTTTCTCCTCACGCGCTTCGCTCACTTGCTTGGGGTTCTGCAGAGCTTGTTTGTTCTTCAAAGCAGGTTGGGCATGCTTGGACGTGTTGCAACATGGGTGCATCCAGTTGCAGTGAGGCCTTGCAAGAAGAGTTGTCAGTATGAGTCATAGCATCTGCAATGTTACTCCCCTCAACATGTCATTCAAGGAGCAAGAGTGGCTTGCGTTATGTCTTGTTGTCCTTTCCACATGCTAATTTGTTTTAGGTTGTTTGCAGGTTGAAAAGTGGAACGAACAAAGAGAGGAGGGCTTGTTTGCTGGCCGATATTAGCCCATCGAGTTGTTACTCTTCCAATCCATGTTGGCGGTATCTTCATACTATTCCACGATCAGGATAATGATTGTACTTGCACCATTGACTTGTGCTGGCTAAACTGCTTCTGGTAGACGTCCTCCTTGCAGATCCAACAGGTCTGGTATGGGAAGCATCAATTTAGCCTGGCTTTGTGTTAGAAAGCTCGTGCCGATCCAAGGAGCGGTGCTGACTGTAGAATCCCATAAGGGCCAATGTTCTATGATCTGGTTGGTCGACAAGGAGTTCTGGGCATAAGATTGAACCACTCCTTAAGGATCCATCAGAGATACACACACATGTAGGAGTTGCCTCGAAACTATTATAAGTGGGTGCTTAAACTGCAAGGTGTGGCAGTAAAATCTTGAAAGTCAAGCTGAACAGCGTGCGAGTTAGAGCTGTCAACCGGCCATGTGAATATACTGCTCCGACATGCATTGAGCCAGACTTCACTTGGTGCCAGTCATAAGAGACTAGCCGCAGGCCCGCACTGTTTCAATCAACGTACTTGCACTTGCGTATACACATGTACAGGCAAATCCGCAATTCCATTGTGGCACTTATAAGGTTGAGCTAGGGACTATCCAAGTTTCTTGCTCAATGACGACTTCCATGGCGCTGCAGTCAATTGCGAGTCGTGCACAGAACATGCATGATCGACTGCATGATATGCGATGCAGCTAGAGCTGCATTAGCCTGAAAGACTGCACTCATGATAGATTACGAGGTCAACCGAACGGATCACTGCAAGTACACATCAACCTCGCTCGATCGGGCCTTATATGGAGCGCTGGCATCTGCCGGCAGGCTGCACGCATCATTGACACAAATGAATTGCGGGCTGGTGGGCGGCCGTGTGCAGCCTCCCGGCCATCTAGGGCAACCAGCATAACTAGAGTGGGCCTGTACTGGCTCCGTCGTTTTCTCCACTAGTCAGATATCTGGAAGGAACCACGAAGTGAAGCCTTGAAGCGAAGCGAACTGCACTGTACAATGATAGTTACCGTCCATACCGCTGACAGTCTTGTCTCGGAAAGTGGTTTGCTGTGCAGGGACTATCGACAGGGAAAAGTCCGAAGCTTACGTAGCTGGACACCAGGACGCTGTCTAGCTTTCCTTCCGTAATCGATCTCGGAGCTGCGCAAGGTCCGACCCCCAGTTGGTTTTAGGAGCCCCCGTGTTGTTGAGTTTCTTCTTTTGAGCTGCAAAGGCAAACCGAGAGTTGAAAGAAATTTCACTATAAACCTTCGCAAGTCCAATGAGCGGAAGTCCGCTGACTAGCCATGGTCAATGAGCCGAAGTCCGCTAGATAGCCATGGTCAATGCCAAATGAAGATATAGTGGCAAGGGAGCAAAAGAACGATGTACTGAGGAGTTGTAACACTTACCACAAGAGCAACTTTGCTTGTTCCAATCTGCCCCACAATCTATGCACAGCCCCTTGCAGTCCTCCTTGCACAGAACCTGGGAAGCAAAGACATTACATTCCGAATCAAAAGGCCTTCCCTATCAAGTTTGTCTTTGCGACATTCAAAATCGGATGCTGAGTAAGCAAAGGTTGTCCGGTCATCTTTCAAACGAGCTCGTCCAACGCACTCGAGGTGCAACTGGTGTACGACGTGCTATAGGCCAAGGGACAAGGTTGAAATCTTCGAAGCGAAACTTCCGAGAATCTTGCACAGTGCATCATTGAGTCCTGCATGCCAGCTTTAAAGTTCTTTGAAAAGCACCCGAAGCTGAACGATCCAATAAAATCAGATGGGGAGACTTGTCGCATCATGGCAGCTCCAGGTTAAAATCTCCCAAGGTCCAAGCTGCCACCAACTTATTCATCGTCAGAGTCGACCAACGGGGGGGTTACAGATTTCGTGCAGGTGGATTAACGGTGCAGACGTCTTACCCTGATTGGCACTTTGAGAAGAATTGTCTGTCTGATGTACTCCGATAGATCAATTTCGGCTGCCCTGCAATCATAAAGTGACAAGTGTGAACTTTCAGGCAGTTGTTCCAGGATCAAGATCGAGCAGTCCTTCTGAGCATCCTCCCCAACAGGAAGTCAACGGAAGAGGCTTCAGTAGAAAAGGATAGTTCGTTTCGACCTTTGAATTTAAATGAGCGCGTCTACTACGCACGAAGTCAAGAACGCCCTCATCCACGGCAATGTTAAAAATTGTGCATCCTCTCAAGAGAAGCGCATGGTGCTTACTCTGGAGGGAAGTACTTCTTGTCGTCGAGGTCCAGGTCATACGCCTCGTCGTCTAGCGCCCCCGCCATTGCCTCTGCCTCCTCCAGGTCCTCCAGCTCCTGATCCTTGCGCCCACGCACTATACCAACTACAGTGCGGCCCACCACTCTCAGCGGTTTTGCAGTTAGTAGCAGGTTGAACGGACCCTCGATGGGCACACCGACTGAACATGCACACCTGCAGCCCGATGTATAGCCTACTTTCTCAACCAACAGAAATGCAGCTTTCATTTTGGAAAACAGGTTCTAAACTGTTCACAGTATCTTGTTCTCCATTCTCTAGAGATAAGGATTTTCGAATGCATTCTCGATAGTTGATCCCCAACCAACGATGTGAACCAATTCCAGCGATGTGCTCCCACACCAGCTTTTTGAAAGAGGAAAATCTGAGACCATGTTTGAAGGAAGAGAATTGCCTTACCTGGCACAGGGCACGATCAGCGCGGTATCTGCTGCACCTTCCAGCCTGAGGTCTCCTCTTCCTTCCTACATTGACACTGGGGAAAGCGTTTGAATGCAGGGATCGCAGTTCCCAGCCGTAGGCGTTGCGTCTTCGCGGGTACTTTCATAAACCTCTGTCGAGACCCAAGCATACTAGTTGGTTGACGAGGGCTGCTCAACTGCTTTCAACTCCAAAAGAAGTAACTCTTCCAGTCTGCTCCTACGAGTCCTTCAATCTCTTCAGAATCTACTCAGAGGTCTTCTTGAAAACGTCGAGCAGTCGCGATAGATGGTGGTCGAAGGTGAACCCTTTCAGGAGATGACCACTCGGCAGGTGTGCAACTTTTCATGACTCAAGGGTCAAAGGACCACAAAGTGCAAGCATACAATATTAAAGAGCTTGGATGAGTTTCACTGGCCAGGTGCAAACAAAACACATAACCACCCTCAATCAGGTGCCCAGACATCCGAAGGAGCGTTTGCAAAGACCTCCGAACCAGTCCATTCGAAGCAGAAACCGGGGCACCACCGGCTGCCAGAATTAGATGACCATGGCAGTGCGAATCCCTCACTTTGGTAACAGTGAAGCCAATGCAGACAGGCGTCTCCTGATCCCCAACCTCTTCGATGCCCATCGCCACTGCCGCTTCTCGAGACTCCGTTGAGGAGAGTCTCGCCAGACCCAATTGCTCTAGTGAAGATGCATACTGGAACTTTGTCTTGGGGCGATGCCGCTGAAAGAGGACCTGTCCAGACGTCTCCGTCAGGCTGGAGCTGGTCGACCGCTCATTGTCTGATGATGGGTACGCCATGTGGGAAACTCCCACCACCAAATTACGTCGCCGGTGGCGCCCATGAATTTGACCACCTGGCAATCCACATACATACCGTCTGCTGCCACCACATTCGGTGGGCTCTCTTAGAATCGGCTTTGGGTTAAGGTGGTGCCATCGGTGGTGAGAACACCCAACGCGCTCTGCTGCAAGGTTCCCGTCGTTCTGCCGGACTGCATCTTCTCGGTGTCCAGCCCCTCCGCTGAAAGTCCCAGTTGAAGGTAAAAAGCTGGCTTCAAAGAGGAGCCTGGTAGCAGCCGCCATTGAGGGAGAGGTCTGAGGTTGGAATTTGACAATGAAAGGTTGAACTCTTGCCAATGCCAAGCAGGCTCCTGCATAGCAAAGTGTCTCGAAGATGGATGAGCACCGTGTGAACTCCCTCAAATCCAACCGCGACGTTTCGTCTTCTACCACCGGACCAGGTTGGTAGCACCGGTTTATTTCCCCGGTTGAGACTAAGAATTTCTTGTTAGCCAAGTCGCGCTGGAAAGCGGTCCTGAGAGCTGGCGGGCATGCTACCCGGTAGAATACCCCGTCCAGCATGCCGGCCGGCTGAGAAGAGACGGAGCCAATTTGCACCTTGAAGTTGAGGCTCGAGCTTCTGCAAGGGCTGGGAAAACGCTGACGCTGCCCATGGCTGGCCCTTCTTCTGACATCAACAGTGGGGTTTTTCTGATCTCTCCTTGCCAGCCAGCTTACATTAGTCCTTGGGCGCACCATATGACAGAGCTTGTGGTTGAGTCCCGCTGAATGCAGGCATGTGCTGTGTGCCATGTGGCTACTCAGTGTTGGATGAAGCTTTTTGTGGGTGCTGCATGACTGCAAAATTGCTTGTCGGTGGTGACAAGAGTTTACCAGCTTTGAACCCAGGCACCTCAGTTTCCCGGGCTTTGCACTCATGCACTTGAGTGTCCCAGGCATTGCACCCCCCTCCTCACATCGTGGATTTCTCCGTGGTCTCTGAGTTTGAGCCGCGGCCGCCTGTGAGGCCTGAGAATGCGTCCGCTCATGCATCACACCAGCCCAAGGTAAGCGATGAGGAAGTAGCGGAGTTGCCCTTTGAGGAGCTATGGTATGGTGCAGCACCCGCTCGGGCTAGCACGGCAGCAGTTGCAATGCAGCCCGTCCGGCAGACCCCCGGGGGGCAGGATGTCCTGGGGAGGCTGCTGGCGGACCTGTGCACCAGGCTCCCCACGCTCGAGGTAAGGCCCCCAAAACCCTCCCGGCAGCATTTCTCTCAAGTACATAAATGACGATTCGTTGACGGACCAATTGAAGCCAGCTGCACTCAAAAGTGCCACAAATGTTGTACGAAGGTTTCTCCTGTAAGGAACGCCAAGTTGCGACAGTGACCCGCTCATCTGGGTGCGCTGCTGCCAGGATGACGGCGCCGCCGCGCTGCGCGAGTACGTGGAGGAGGAGGCGCGGGACCTGCAGGGGGAGGCGTTCACGCGCTTCATGGACACCCTGTTTGAGCGCATCTCAGCCCTGGTGGCGCGCAGCGAGGTGGCGGACAACCTGGGAGCGGTGCGCGCCATCGACCAGCTGATTGGGGTACAGCTGGGGGAGAATGCCACCAAGATCTCGCGCTTTGCCAACTACCTACGCCAGATCTTTGAGGAGAAGGGGGACCCCGCGGTCATGGTGGCCGCCAGCGTGGCGCTGGGCCACCTCGCCAGGGAAGGGGGGGCGCTCACTGCTGATGTGGTGGAGTTCCAAGTAAGGAGGGGAGACGTGTACGCTTGAATGTATGAATCAGCTGGGCCTCCAACGGGTAGCAGTTTGCCTTGCAGGTGGTGTAATCAGGGGTGCGAGCAGGATAGCCAGTGCCTTCTTGTCCAGCGATGACTCCCACTTTCTTCCATGGACAGACATCCAGTCTACTCTGCCAAGACATAAGGAGGCGCTCTTCTTCTGTGCAGGTAAAACGTGCACTGGAGTGGTTGCAGGGCGAACGCGTGGAATCCAAGAGGTTTGCGGCTGTGCTCATCCTCAAGGTAAAAGAGGGCTCCACTTCGGGGACACTTTGTAAACCCACTCACTTGTGCTTGTGCTGCTGGTGAACCAGGACTGCAGCTTAGTAGCCATAAAAGTACGGGGTCCGTGTCCGACAGGGCTTCTTGATTACCTTCCACCATCATATGCTGGCCGTTGAAGCCCTTGTACGAGTACGAACGTCAGATCAAACGTGTATCAGCGGCCCAGAAAACCATGCTCTTGGACAGGGCTGAGGTCGGGCAATTGCGGCACCTTTCGCAGGAGATGGCGGAGAACGCGCCAACGGTGTTCAATGTGCACATCCCGGTGTTCATCGATGCCATTTGGTCAGCGATGCGCGACCCTAAGCTGGAGGTGCGCCTGCGTGCGGTGGACGCGCTGCGTGCCTGCCTGTGCGTCATTGAGAAGCGCGAGACGCGGTGGCGCGTGCAGGGCTACTACCGCATGTTTGAGGAGACGCAGAAGGGGCTCAACAAGACCGCATCAGTGGAAAGCATCCATGGGTCGCTGCTAGCAATCGGGGAGCTGCTGAGGTGAGGAACATCGCACAAATGATGTCAAAAGGTTGCGATGCGCAATTGGGATGATCGATTGCATGGACTGGAATGAGCAAACCCGCACTAAGAAGCGCCGAGCGGACACGAGTTCATAATGGCGATCAGTGGTCGTATCGAGCGGACGATCTACTACCCCAATCATGTCGATTGTCGATCTGGACTCCCTCTCTTTGTCTGAGAAGCATCCTGTCAAATGGTCGTTTCGAGGGCTTGTACTATGTGGGGATGAGCCTCTGATCTTGGTGGTTGTGTCCGCGCGGCCAGGAACACGGGGGAGTTCATGATGGCGCGCTACAAAGAAGTCGCCAAGATCGTGCTCAACTACCGCGACCACCGAGAGCGCCTGGTGCGCCGTAGCATCACAGCACTGCTGCCCCGCATTGCCTACTTCCTGCGCGACCGCTTCGTGGCCAGCTACCTCAAGGTCAGCTCCGCACAAGAGATTCGAGTCTCGTGCCTTCATGGAGAGTCCACTCTTACTCTGGCGACCGCAGCTCATGCTCCAACGTAAGCCGATGCTTTACTTCTAGGGAGGTGGCCCACACATGTGTAATTAAGAATGTTTGCGTTGCCGCAGGTGTGCATGGAGCACCTATTGGGCGTGATGCGCAACCCCGCGGAGCGCACCACCGGCTTTGCAGCGCTTGGCGAGATGGCGGGGGCAGTGGGGCCGGCCCTCACGCCATACCTGCCGTCCATCACGCCTCTCCTAAGAGAAGCGGTGAGGCCACCTACCAACCTCGTGGCACGCCTGGCTCTCAATTCTTGCTTGAATGGTATTCTGCCTTCGCTTTCTATCAGCTTCGAAGTTGCATGTGTCGCTTCTTTGTTTCTCGAGTTTTCTGCCGGGGCAGAGGAAAAGTCGGGGTTCTCGAGTCTAAATCTTGATTTGCTCTCCACCGATCTTCGTCTTTGAATCTGCCCCCAGATCGCGCCCTCTCGGCGGGGCCGCCCCTGCCCAGAGGCTCTGGCATGCGTGGGCCAGCTGGCCCAGGCAGTGGGGCCTGACTACACCGAGCATGCACGCAGCCTGCTGGAGCCCCTCTTTCAAGGGGGCCTCAGCCCCATCCTAGTCGAGTCCCTCGCGCAGATTGCTTCTAGGTACGTCTTCATTGGCTCGTGGGGCTCTCTTGTGACTTCGAAAAGTTTTGCATGCAAACAAGGATGATGCCATGCTAACTCTGCTCTGCAGATGAAGCTCTGCCGTCGTCCTGACCTTGTCGGATGCGGTAGCTTCGTTCGACAGACTGCTTGTATGCGCAAGACACGCTTCAGGAGCCCTGTGTCTGCCGTCTCTTTCCTGCCAGCTCGCCCCTGACCCAATTTCTCGTCTCGCCTCTCGCAGCCTGCCCGTCCTTTTGCCGTCCATCCAGGAGCGCCTGCTGGACGTGCTATCCTTGATCCTGGCAAAGAAGCCGTACCGCCCCCCCAGTGCTGCCAGCCCCCTTGCGCGCAGCCCCAGCCTGGGCAGCCCCGTGCTCCAGTCCGAGCTCACCGCCGCCGGCCTCACCCAGCTCGCCCTCCGCACGCTCGCCACCTTCGACCTCAACGTGAGCCGACGCCACACCTCGCCAGTTGACCTTTGGATTGTGCTTATTAACAGGATCATTCAACGACAATAAGAAAGCTTGATGTGGGCGCCGGTGTCCAAAGCTCGGGCGATGCACACGCAGTGAACGAGGTTTCTTTTTGGACTTCAGCCTCCGCAGAGCCCAACGTTGAGACAGCGGAACAGCTCTTCATCTGCTGCATCGACTCAATTCCTGCAACCAATGTTATGTTTGTTTGTGCCTCCACTCAACCCATCGTCCTCTGGCATCGCTGTGCGTAGGGGCACGACATGATTGAGTTTGTGCGCGAGCACGTGGTGCGCTACCTGGACGACGACGAGGTGCACACGCGGCGCGAGGCGGCCGTCACGTGCTGCCGCCTGCTCAAGGCGAGCGTGGCGGGTGCGGGGCTGCGGCTGCCGCGTGACGGCCGCCCGCTAGGCTCGCGGCGCAAGCGTGTGCTAGTGGAAGAAGTGCTGGAGCGGCTGCTGGTAGCGGCCGTTGCGGACGCAGACGAGGGCGTGCGCCGCGCCGTGCTGCTGAGCCTGCCGGAGGGGGCCGGCTTCGAGGAGAACCTTGCGCAGGCGGACAGCCTGCGGGCCGTCTTCATCGCGCTCAATGACGAGGTGAGACTGGGCCACACGAGACAGGGAGGAAGCTGGGAGTAAAAATGCGGAGCGAGCTCCTTGTCGAGTTTGAGAATGTTTAGCTGTCCTAGTGCACCATTGAAGCCGGCTGGATACCTTTTCATGGCTCTTCTCTCTCAACGAGGAGACGAGAAGGCGCTGATACAACGAACATCGTGAGTCTTTTGTGCTCACTTCCTGCCTGAGTCTTGCGCACGGCTTTTTTATCGACTGGGGTAGCTCTGCCCTGCAGTCGTTCGAGGTGCGCCAGTACGCCATCACTTTGGCGGGCCAACTGGCGGAGCGCAACCCTGCGTACGTGCTGCCCGCACTGCGCCGCCACCTGCTGCAGCTGCTCACTGACTTGGAGCACAGGTGATCCTCAGCACCCCACTTCTCAAAACCTGCTCTGGACACGAGCCGAATCTGTTGCTGCAGATTAAGCCGGCCTATGTCGATTACTGGCATCTGACACTCGCCTCAAGTGTCGTGGCTGCTCTTTGATCTATCTCCATGATCGGTGGGGTGCAGTTCGGACAGCAAGCACAAGCAAGAAAGCGCACGCCTGCTGGGTTGTTTGGTGCACGCCTGCCCGCGCCTCATTCTGCCCTACATCGCGCCCGTCCTGAAGGTAAGTTGTCGTGTTCATGGATAAAGAGTCACGCGCATGCGGTAAGCCGAACGTGCAAACCTCCTGCCCCTGCGATCAGAGTGGTGGATTTTGTAAGAATAGATTTCTGTTGCATATTTGTCGTTTACTGTCTTGATTCTCCGGCTGGTGCCCTAACATCAGGTGGCTCAAAGCTTGTTTTTGTGTCGCAGGCCCTGGTCGCCCAGCTGCGGGAGAGTTCCACTGGGGGGGCTGCTACTGGGGAAACTAGCAGCGGGGGCGGCCGCAGTGGCGTCATCACAAACGTGTTGGCTACCGTCGGAGAGCTTGCCAGAGTGGTGAGCAGCGACGCCGCATGACCAGCACAGGCCGTTGACAAAGCTGCTGGTGCGAAAGACTGACGGCATGACGTCTCACAACGCTTGGCGCGGGATTTTTAAACTTTCGTTAATTTCGAAAAGGAATCTCATCTCTTGGCCTCGAGCCCACTCCTGTTTGTAACTTCTTTCAATCCATTTTCTGTGCGTGAGGGTCTGTTGGTGGTTATTGACTGCTTGATTGGAGTAGACTCAATCGAGTTGACGCTCTACTGCGAGAAGAGCATCGACCTTATGTCAACCGAAGCGCCCAACCTGGCTGCCTGGTGTAGGGTGGCGGCACGATGCGACCATACGTGGGCGAGCTGATGCCGCTGGTGGTGGACGCGCTGCACGACGGCGGGACCGGCAGCGATAGCAAGCGACGCCAGGTGGCCGTCTGCACGCTGGGGCAGCTCGTGGAGAGCACCGGGTGAGGAACCGCACGCTCTGTGTTAGGAACAAGTCGACGGAGTAGGGGAATGTTTGCTGCTGCCCTTGAACCTGCTCAACCTGCTGTACGATCCTAAAGTGTTGAGTCATTTTCGACATATTCATCCCGCGATCGCTCCGCTTATTCCGTCAAAGATCTGAAGATCTGAATTCATCTCGGGGACAGCACAGTGACGTCCGGCTGAGTTGGCGCGTGCTTTGTGGCTCGTGTGCAGGTACGTGGTGGTGCCGTACACGGACTTCCCGCAGCTGCTGGGGGTGCTGCTGCGGCTGCTCAACGGGGAGCACGCCTGGGCCATGCGCCACGAAGTGCTCAAGGTGCGCCGCATGCCCCCATACCACCCCAGAGCCCGCTCGTGGCCGTCTAACTTGTCCAGACCAGGCAGGCAGTCAAAGGGCGTCATCCAGAATACTCTTAACGCGATATATCATCCGGATCTCGTTCTTCCCCTTTGGCTCCTTCCAGCAAGCAACCCTCGTCTTGCGACCCCTTTGCAAACCAAGCCCTCAGTCTCGGCATCAATGCCAGCTTGCAAACCCTGGCGTCCTCCGCAGCTTGCCCCTCACGTTTGTCCCTGCTGCCCGTCACAGGTGCTGGGCGTGATCGGCGCGCTGGACCCGCACGCGCACAAGCGCAACCAGATGCTGCTGCAGGCGGGCCACGCGGAGGGCGGGCGGCCCGCAGCGCCCGCAGACGGCGGGATGGCGCGCAGCGCGCTGGTGGAGGCGGACTTGCCGGGGGAGGTGTTGCCGAGCAGCGGGATGAGCACGAGCAGCGAGGAGTACTACCCGACGGTGGCCATCAACGCGCTGATGCGAATCCTGCGCGAGAAGGCCATGTCCAGCTACCACCAGCGCGTCGTGGGCAGCCTCATGTACATCTTCCGCGCCATGGGCCTCGCCTGCGTGCCCTACCTCCCCAAGGTCAGCGCATACAATCCGCTGCAGCTTCAGCGCAGTGTGAGGAGACGCCGTGCTCGGCACCGCTGTCTCTGCCATCCGAGGCGAAGCGGTTTCTCGATCTTCTGTATTTGTTCCGAGTTCTCGCTTCACGAATGAAGACCGATCTGAGCAATATTTTGACCACGGGCTTGCGACTCAGGAACGACGGCGCGGATCACCTCGTCCTCCCCTTGTGCGTCCTTGATGACTCTTGAGGCGGAAGGGGGTTGTCCAGTCTCTTCTCGGGCGGTATGCATCTCGGCGGCCACTCCTCGCTTCGAGTCCTTGTTCCCTGATCCAGCGCGTGTCCGCCTGCAGGTCCTCCCCGACTTGTTTCACGTGATGACCGTGTGCGACGACGCCCTGCGAGACTTTCTGCTCCGCCAGCTGGCCCAACTCGTAGCTATCGTGCGCCAGGTAAGGGACACGGGGCCGGTCTCTGCTGTTTGTACTGCAGGCGCTTCGAAATCTGCTGATGCCTGTCTCAGCAGGCGTCTTATTTAAGTGGCTTCCTGGCTGGCGTTCTGGCTTAGCGGGCTCACGGATGACTCGTCTGACGCAGCACATTCGCAAGTACCTGCCGGAGCTACTCAATCTCATCCACGAGTACTGGTCCTACCCCGCGTTGCTCCTGCCGGTAAGCAACAGAGGCCCAACACGCAATGCGGTTCTGACATCATAGACGGAGTTCTAATCTTGGTCGATATGATGTCGAGAACCTGCTCGTCCGCCGGCTCCTTTGGCCTGGTCTGTGTCCTTTTGTCCCTTTGGTCATTATATGCAAGCAAGTGTCGTCTCGGCGCCCCCTGTCTCCCCTTACCTGACGCTGTGCGTCCTTTTGCCGCAGGTGCTGCACTTGGTGGAGCAGCTGTCGCGCGCGCTCAACGACGAGTTCCGCGCGCACCTGCCCGAGATCCTGCCGCGCTGCGTCCAGGTCCTCGCGCTCGCCGAGCAGACCGGCGATTACGCCTCCGTGCCGCCCGTCCTGCACGCCTTTGAGGTCTTCGGGAGTGAGCAAGCCCGGCCCAACATCCCTCTTGGGCACAGCCGCTTTAGTGGTGTAGGTCGAAGCAGCTCCCTGTCATCGTCGCGTGCCCCTGTTAGAAATTTGTAGGTCGATGTGTTGTGGCATTAGCGCCTCTTTGCGGCTCATTACAATAACACAACTATGAGCAACCGTATCTTCGCGGATGTCCTTCATGAGGGCTCCAAAGCGGAACCCTCTACCGGCTTTGCATTCGCACCTCCTTCCTTCCAAGCCGCACCATCGACCACGATCAAGCTTGTACAACGTACACAAAATATTTTCTCCCCTCTGCTGCCCTTAAGAAGTCGTCTTCTGCTCTTCCCGCTGCGCAGGCAGCATGGACGAGCACATGCACCTGGTCCTGCCCGCGCTGGTGCGGCTGCTGAAGCCGTCGGTGGTCGACGCCCCCGTGGATATCCGGCGCGCCACCATCCGTACGCTGGGGCGCCTGCTGCCCACCATGCACGTCGCGGGCCACGCGTCCGCCATCCTGCACCCGCTCACCAGGGTGCTCGACGGGTCAGCGACTTGAACCATCTCACTCTTGAACCGTGTGTTTCGGCCTTGCGAGGTACTATTGCTGCAGTGCACCGGGCTCAAGAGACGTGCTTTACCAGGGCGGCGCCACCTGCTGTAGCAGTCAGCTCCCGAGCATGGACACCACTCGTCCAGCATACGACTCCAGCCCACAGCCGTTTGGTAGCAGGCCTGATCGATATGAAGGAGTCAAGGCGAAGTGGCTGTCCAGGCCACTTCGACCTCTAGCATCGGAGAATGCTTAGCATATCGCCTTGTTGAAGATAGGGTTTAAATTAAAAGTACCCTTGATTAGAGGTTTGAGCTTTCGTTGCCTCCGTTCAACCCGCTGACGCCGCTGTGTGTCTGTCTGCCACGTGCAGGCCGCAGGAGGAGCTGCGTAAGGACGCAATGGATGCCATCTGCGCGCTGGCGGGCGCCATGGGCTCCGACTTCGCCATCTTCATCCCCTCCATCCGCAAGCTTCTGCACAAGCACCGCCTCACCGTGAGCCGCCATTGCCCTTCGATGATCTCCGGCGGGCGTGACAGCAGCCTTCAGAAGGGTGTACGAATGAGACGGTCCCACTAGACTAGATAAAGAGGGGACTGCTGCATGACGAGTCCGCCCCTGGATGACGCACAGCCCCGACTTAAGGGAGGAGAATCGGGTGCCAAGCTCAGTTCTTCTGCCAAAATGGATGGTGGGCTACAACGAGACAAGCCTGATGAAGTATTTGGCAATCACGAACTTGGGCTTTGTTTTGCAGCACCCGCGCTTCGAGGGCGTGGCTGCACGCGTGCTGCGGCGCGAGCCCGCGGTGGTGCTGGAGGCGAGCAGCCTGATGCACGCGCCCAGTGACGCGAGCAGCCTCTCGGAGGTGTACCACGGCGCCAGGCAGGCCGACGGGGAGAGCGTCGATGGGGAGGACGACGCTGCCATGGCGCCAGGCAGGGTGCTGAGGGTGAGGGCGTCAATAAACATTCATGGGGTCGATCTGGTTTCTGCTCGACAGAGTCACTGTCCAAACGTCCTTTGTAGTCTGTGATTGTTGCTGCTGCTCGTCAACTTCCGGATGTGATGCTCGAAGGAGACCGCTAGTATTATGTGAATCGAAACAAGATGAACTTACGAAGAATCAAGCGGACGAGCGCCTTTACGGTCTTGAAAGCAGGCAGGTTGCTTGACAGGGAAGTGATGAACGATGCCCGGACAGAATGCAGTAGCCCAGGCACATCTGTATCTTGCTTCTGACGTACCTTTTCCGCGTGATAGGTGAACGAGGGTGCCCTGCGGCGCGCATGGGAATCGAGTCAGCGTAGTACGCGCGAGGACTGGGCGGAGTGGATGCGCCACTTCAGCGTGGAGCTGCTCAAGGAGTCGCCCTCGCCCGCGCTGCGCACCTGCGCCGGCCTCGCGCAGCTGCAGCCCCATGTTGCACGAGAACTCTTTGCCGCGGGCTTCGTCAGCTGCTGGTCCGAGCTCTCGCCGGTGAGGGACCTATATTTGCTTCCTCTTGAGTTATGCGAGATCCCCGTCGGACGATGACCTTAAACCTCACTTGTTGCCAATTAGTGTTTCAAAAGCAATCATGTCGGGCCATCCATCAGTCTTTCTCCTTGGACAGCTCCCTGAACATCTTCGGTCGGGCCCTCCATCGTCCTCTCCTTTGCCCCTGAGCCGACCCTGCTTTGCTTTGTGTGCAGAACTACCGGGAGCAGCTGGTGCGCAGCCTGGAGGCCGCCTTCGCATCCCCGACCATCCCGCCCGAGATCCTGGCGACGCTGCTGAACCTGGCCGAGTTCATGGAGCACGACGAGAAACCGCTGCCCATGGAGATCCGCACGCTGGGCGCGCTCGCGGAGAAGTGCCACGCGTTTGCCAAGGCGCTGCACTACAAGGAGCGCGAGTTCGAGACGAGCCCCACCACCACCGTCGAGGCGCTGATCCATATCAACAACCAGCTGCACCAGCACGAGGTGCGCACAGCCACTCTGAGTGGGAAAAAGGAGAAAGGCGTCCAATGGTCGCTTATCTTGAAGCTGCTCGTCTGCGTGTCATCCAAGCAACTGTTTCTGCGTCCCCTTCTGATGCAGATGAATCCTAAGGTATTCCTAGATTCACTTTAAGTTGCAGTCTGGGCACTTCTGAGAAGATGTGGACGCTCTTAAAGTCCCTGAAAAGGTGCAACTGCAGTATACTGATCGCCTGGCGTGGAAGATCTCTGTTGTATGCAAGTCCAAACCGTACAAAGCGCGGTGCCTGACTGCCCAAATGCTGTGGTCGTGACAGGCGGCGGTGGGCATCCTGCACTACGCGCAGCAGCAGCAGGGCGTGGAGCTGAAGGAGTCGTGGTACGAGGAGCTGCAGCGCTGGGACGAGGCGCTCGAGGCGTACGAACTCAAAGCAGCACAGGCGCAGACGCACCACCAGGCGCTTGAAGCCACGCTCGGTGAGGCCCATGACGGGGCCTGACTGCGAAGTTGTTTCCCACTTCGGAGCTGCGCGACTCTGCTTGCCTGCTTACAGTACAGAAAGGCAGTCGGCTTGATCGCTCCTTTAGGCTCCTCTAGCACAATGGCGAGGTGGGGCTATCGCGAAACTTCCCCTCTTAGCAAGACAGCTGCGGTCATCGACAGAGAATCCATACCTTTTTTCGCGTGTTGTTATCCTGACGTTGGTGTTTTCAAGAACTAGATTTGACAAGTTTATTCAGCTGAATAAGCCCTTCCTCTGACGACGCCTCTTTCTCGCATGCAGGACGGATGCGGTGCTTGGCAGCCCTCGCCCGTTGGGACGAGCTGGGTTCGCTGTGCCGCGAGACGTGGGCGCCCGCAGAGCCTGCGGCGCGGCTGGAGATGGCGCCCATGGCCGCAAGCGCGGCGTGGAACCTGAACGAGTGGGACGAGATGCACGAGTACGTCAGCGTGCTGGACGACGGCGACGACGCACACCGCAGGATGCCCATGAACGCGGTGGGCGGCTCGCGAGGGGGCAGCGTCGGGAGCGGCATCAGCGACGGGCCGTTCTTCCGGGCCGTACTGTCAGTCAGGAGGGGACAGGTGAGGCGGGGCCATTTGGTGCATGCGCTTCAACTGGTTTTCGTGTTGTGTATTTTGCCGGCATAATAGTGTCTGCTTTGTGGCCGGAGCAGCCTTTCCTTGAACTTTACGCACACTTGATTGCTTCATTTTAATCTCGTACACAGTCCTTTCCTTTCCGAGAAGGCCGCCCCAGATCAAAGTCAATTGGTGTCAAGCTCCCTTGAATGAGACACTCTGCTTGGTTTCAGAGTTGTGCAAGACACACCACAAATCTCCTTAATCCATAGTTGTCTCCAATACGCCTAAACGACAAGGTCTTGGCCTATGTGTGCAGTATGCGGATGCCCGCATGTACGTGGAGCGCGCACGCAAGCTGCTGGCTACTGAACTGGCCGCGCTGGTGCTGGAGAGCTACGAGCGCGCGTACGGCAACATGGTGCGCGTGCAGCAGCTCGCGGAGCTGGAGGAGGTCATCGACTACTGCCAGCTGCCCACTGCTGACGCTGCCGCCGACGCGCGTGCTGCGCTCATCCGACGAATGTGGCAGGACAGGGTCCGTGGGGCGCAGCGCAATGTCGAGGTAAGGAGCTGACCATGAGGACCGGGAACTCATCGCGTTCCGCTGCTTAGGGTCAGGTCGAGAAGCGATATATGTCCTGCTTGGTTGCAACCTTGCAATGAAACTCTCAGATACCCGTCGAGATGTTGCCTCAATACTTCTGAGGGACGACCGGGGTCTTGGTTTGATGGTGCCATCTTTGTGAACTCAATTCTCCTCAATCAAGCTTGCTATTTTCTCTTCTCCTATCAGCCCTGACCGGAATCGCTCCTCCTCGGTCCCTCCGCAGGTGTGGCAGGCGCTGCTGGCGGTGCGCTCGCTGGTGCTGCCCCCCTCGCAGGACATCGCCACGTGGCTCAAGTTTGCGTCGCTGTGCCGCAAGAGCGGGCGCGTGAGCCAGTCGCAGGCGACGCTGGTGAAGCTGTTGCAGTACGACCCCGCACAGGAGGGCGGGGGCCGCCTCTCCGTGGAGCCGCCCGTCATGCTGGCCTACCTCAAGCACCAATGGTCCCTCGGCGGGGACCGCAACAGGATGGACGCCTTCCACCAAATGCAGGTCAGAGCGGCGCAGCCTGTTGGGGCTTTGGGTGGTTAGTGAAGGCTGCTTGCTTCTTTCAGAGCGATCGTCGTCTTGGCTGTCGGCTCCTCGAGATTCAAGCTGGGCACATCTAACAGACGCTGAACTGTATAGCTGAAGGATGCAGATATGCTGCCAGGTCGGGCTTCCCCGCTACTCTTCAGAATCTCGTCTTCACAGGGATTTTGGCGATCCCAAGTAGTTTGCATCCTCAAATTGGCCCCCTGATGCAAGCAGCACGACGGTCCTCAACTTCGAAACCTACCGTCTCTCCCAGGAGCTGGCGGGCGAGCTGGAGCACAGCGCGGCCGTAGTGAGCGGCGCAGCCGGCCCGCAGAGCCTGTCCGCGTCCGCGCTCA